ATATAACATTTTAGACACATTCTAGACAGTTTATCAGCTAAAAAAAGTTAATTTTGGGGTAAGTTACTCTTTAAAATGTAATGTGAACGTTCACACAAAAAGATCAGATTTTTTCAAAAAATCACAACTGAGCATTAAGACCTGCAGTGTGAACGTAGCCAGGGACAATGTCCTCTGGACAGATCAGACAAAAATGGAACTTTTTGATTAGACAAATCAGCTCTATGTTCACAGACAGAAAAATGAAGCATATTAAGAAAAAAACACTGTACTGTGAAACATGGAGGCGGCTATGTTATGTTCTGGAGCTGCTTTGCTGCATCTGGCACAGGGGGTCTTGAATCTGTGCAGGGTACAATGAAATCAAGAGTATCACGGGATTCTACAGAGAAATGTGCTGCCCAGTGTAAGAAAGCTTGGTCTCAGTCGCAGGTCATGGGTCTTGCAACAGGATAATGACCCAAAACAGCTAAAAACACCAAGAATGGTTAAGAGGAAAACACTGGTCTATTCCGAAGTGGGCTTCAATGAGCTCTGACCTAAATCCTACTGAGCATCTTTGGAAGGAGCTAAAGCATACCGTCTGGAAAAGGCTCCCTTCAAACCTGAGACAATTGGAGCAGTTTGCTCATGAGGAGTGGATCAAAATACCAGCTGAGAGGTGTAGAAGTCTAAATGACAGTAACAGGAATTATTTGAACGTAGTGATTCACCCAAAAGGTTGTGCAACAAAGTATTAAGTTAAGGGTACCATCATTTCTGTCCTGGCCTGTGTCGTGAGTTTTATTTCTTTTTTTAACTCATATAAAACATCAGTGTGACAGGTCCGTTAGCCAAACCACTCCCATAACCAAGAAACTTCCACTAATTGACTTGAGATCCCTACTTGGTTTCTATTATTAGAAGGAACAAATATGTACACTCACAGGGTGACTGAAGTCTTCCCCATGGGCGCTTTGTCCAGGAAGTCCCTTGCGATGGGCTTCACCCAGAGAACCAACACAACGACTGGAGATAAGAAACTCATGTGCAGCAAAATCCTGTTAGGAAATGTTCACATGTATCAATCAGCGAGAGACAAACACTGTTAAAGTCTGATTGCACAGACGCAAGAAGTCTTTACTGGATGAGCGGTCGATCGGAGTTCATCTGCACGGCGTCTAGATGAGTCTGAGCCAAGCGCAGTCCTGGGAAGGCCAGGAGGGCTCCGACGTACGCACAGACAGCAGCCAGACTGAGCTTCACCGTCAGCTTTGTTACAGGGATTCTGACAAAAAACACACAGAAACAGGAAATGACACAAACGGCTGCTCCAAGTCAAAGATTTTTGGACACAATCKGAGGTTCTTCCCACCGTACTTGAGTTTGAATATACATTTGACACTTACGACCAGTCTGCATATCCCTGCTGTTTGGCAAAGATTTCCAAGTTGTCAAACAGGCTGGAAAAACCAGGTTCTAGGCCGAACTCCAGGTAGTCCTCCCGGACCACCAGAACCAGCATAGCCACCAGCAGGGACAGGAAGCCRAAGGCAAGGCACACCGAGCGCTCGCCGCCCTCCTCGGAGCGGAAGTAGTGGCTCATCAAAGTGTGGAGCATCTTTCTGAGGGTTGTGGATTAAAGGGATTCAACAAAAACTATATTTAATGGGAAACTGCAAGTCCTGCTACTGAACCCAGGCTGTCAAACAAAACAGTTTTAACACCTTGGCAAAGATCTCAAGTTTGAGACGTACATTGCAACCACACCGCTAATAAAGTTGGAACGTTGTGTAAAACATAAAAACAGAATACGATCTTTTTCAAACTACGTTCAATTAAATATGCAACAAATGCAAGATATTTAATGTTTAAATGGATAAACTTTGTTTTTTTCTTGTTTTCTTTTTGCAAATATTAGCTCATTATGAATTCATATATGTGACCCATCAAATCAAAATGAGGATTAAGTCAAATTTGGTCAAAATTACCTAAATTACATTTTTCAGACTCCTGGCTTTAAAAGCTACATTTTGATACCTGAATCATTCTGATATCATAAGCTTATCCAGAGATGTGACTTAATTTGTCTTGTTGGTTACAATAATACATTACTCTTTGGTCTGAATCCTTATTTTATGTCAATTTATTGAGCAATTTTATATCAATAATATAAAGAGTAAACC